TAGTACATATATATATATATATATATATATATATATATATATAATTCGTATATTTCTACATCCAGTTAGTATTTGTTGTACTGAATTTAATTCATACTGGTTTTCATCTTCAAAAAATCTGTCTGGAGTTTTATTATTGTATTACAGTAATAATAGACTAATGAAAATCATCATTAAAATAATCAAGATCATTGGGAATAACAATTACAAACGTAATAAATAAATAAATAAATACATAACTTTTTTTGTTGTACTGAATTTAATTCATACTGGTTTTCATCTTCAAAAAATCTGTCTGGAGTTTTATTATTGTATTACAGTAATAATAGACTAATGAAAATCATCATTAAAATAATCAAGATCATTGGGAATAACAATTACAAACGTAATAAATAAATAAATAAATACATAACTTTTATATTTATGTATAAATGACTTTTGTGTCATTCATTCTCCAACACTTACTCATGATTAAAGGGATGTTTCACTCAAAAGATCTGTCATAATTGACTCACTCTCATGTTGTTTCAAACCTCTATGACTTACTTTCTTCTGTGGAACAACACTTGAAAAGTTTCGAAGACCTGTTGTTTTCCTTGAAAGTGTCAGTCATACAAAAGACATAAGGGTAAGTGAAAGATATTTACTTATAAAACGAACTGAAATTGCATAAAAAGATCCTGTTTAACCCTCTGGGCCTCTTCGTTTGGGAGTCACACTTGGCTCCGTTCGCGGTCAAAAGTGACCGAAGACTCAAAAAGTAATTTTTCTTTTTCTTTTTTTCTTCAGGAAAATCAATCTAATACATTTTTGTTCAATAATATTTGTTTATTCTTATTTATAATTTTGAGGGAATTTTATGATACTATGCAATATTTATAAAATTTTAATAAGCTATTTTTTTCCCATTAGAATTAATATATATTTTTTATTTCTTCATTTCTGTATTTTTCTTTTTAATAAATACAATATTTCACATTAAAATAGAGTGAAGGCATGTCAAATCAATTTTTTAAAGTGAGAATTGTGCCATCTGGAGGCGTAAAAAAAAAAACTTGTGTAATGTTGCGTAACCTCCTGTATAGCTCTCTATATCAATATATACAGACGCTTTTGGATTCCCGTTGTTTTTTAGACATCATTTCTTTATTTAATCACACTTTTTTTCTACACAGTGGCTGATTTGTAGTTTGTACCACCAAAAGATTAGCTGGGTTTTCATATTTTTTATTATTTCCCATTCATTTCCTATGTCGGTCATTTTTGACCGCGAAGGAGCCAAGTGTGACTTTTTTTGTTGTTGATCCTTTAACATATCCGAATAATGTCCATGATTTTTTGTGTGTGTTCACATAGCTAATGCAACAAAAGTCACCAAGTGTCATCTCATTCCGATGAAGCTACGATTTTTAAAATTTCAAAACATAATTTTTTTCGGTCAAAAATTACCGAAGAGGCCCAGAGGGTTAAGAGTTCACATCCCGCGTGTTTATTTCTACATCCAGTTAGTATTTGTTGTTCTGAATTTAATTTATACTGGTTTTCATCTTCAAAAAATCTGTGTCTGGAGATTTATTATTGTATTACAGTAATAATAGACTAATGAAAATCATCATTAAAATAATCAAGATCATTGGGAATAACAATTACAAACTTAATAAATAAATACATTTAAAAGATCCAGAAACATTATGGTAAGGAAGTGTGAGGAAATTATTCTATTTGTTATGGTGGAAAAAAACAACAACAAACCATCATTTATACTATGACGTATTGTCATTCTAATATGAATAATAATCATAATAATTAGAACTAGATGTAAGACCTTGATTAATATCAGTAATTACTGTAAGTTTCACACACTTTATTCATTGAGCATAAATTATACAATTTATTGTGTTCTCATTGAATACCAGCAGATGGCCCACTGTGGCCACGATCAAAACCTCACCAACATTCAATCTGTGCTGGAAGGTCTTTGGTTAATAAACACTCTCTCTTCACTGTCACTTATTGCCCCCACACAACAAATGTTTCACAGAAGCTCCAAAGCACATATTGCACACTTTAGCAAAGACAAATGTGTGAATAGACACACACATAAACCTACCTATGAAAAGACTGTGTGTGTATTCCATGAGAAAATGAGAGTCTCTTTGCTTGGTGTCTGATAACTGCAAATTATAGGTATACAATTACATTCTACATACATACAGGTAGATATGCACGAAAATACTCCTTATGATTTGGAAACTGATTTGAAAACAGTAAATGGACTTTCATGTTGAATCACAGCAGTCTGATCAAAACCTCACACTTAATGTGCTGTGCTTGGCTTAACCTTTGGCCACAATAAACAAATTTGAGACTAGTTTTAACATATTTTTAACATATTTCCTGTAGTCTCCTTTTTGGAAAATTTGTGTAACCAGATACATAACTTTCTGATTACGGTTGTGAAACTTAGTCCACGGATCGAGCTTGTGTCTGCCACTATAGACATAAGGCTTATCAAACTAATTTCCTCATCACATTCCTCTTCAAACATAGCAGGACTAGTGTGAGTGTTAAATAAACCCAGAGGAAGAATTATTACTCAGTGGCTCTTACAAAGCTCAGGAGACTTAAAGAGATAGTTCACCCAAAAATGAAAATTTGATGTTTCTCTGCTTACCCCCAGGGCATCCAAGATGAGGTAAAAAAACGATATAAATACTGTTCAGGTTCTTGCACAGGCCGATCGTTTCATGTCTTTACACATCAATGTATCGTCACGAGCCGCAGGGTTTAATTTGGTTTGGTTTGTGTATGTTTTATGACTCTCAAAGCTGTGATTCCCATCCACATCCATTATATGACTGACAGACTGCAACGGTATGAGTTAAAAATCTTCGTCTGTGTTCTACCGAAGAAACAAAGTCACCTACATTTTGGATGCCCTGGGGGTAAGCAGATAAACATCAAATTTTCATTTT